AACCTACTTAGAATGGACAATTCAACAACTTTCAAAGCTTCGTGCCCCTAAGCAGAAAGAGGAACCTGATATACGCTCTTTCCTCGAGGATTTGGAATATTTGCAGCGAGGAAGTGATTGAAGAATTATTATTATTGTTCCCTTGGGTTCCTAGTGGAACATAGGGCTTCAACTGCACGTCTCCACTTGCTTCTGTCTTGTGCTGTACCTTTCACTTGCGTCCATGTTATTCCATACTGTTTCATCTCCTCCTCACACGATCTCCTCCATGTCACCCTTGGACGTCCCACTCGCCGCTTCCCTCTCGGGTTCCACTCGAGCACTGGCCTGACGCGCGATGTCACTCAACGGCCTCCTCAGCGAGTGTCCAATCCATCTCCACTTCCTCCTGCATATTTGTTGAGCGATTGGTTCCTGTTTCTTTTGTTCCCATAGCTTCTTGTTTGTGATTCTTTCCGGCCATCTAATCTTCAGTATGGAGCGAAGACAGTTGTTGATAAAGGTCTGCAACCTGTTGAAAATATTCTTGGTGACCCGCCAAGTTTCTGATCCGTAAAGCAAAAATGACTTCACGTTTGTATTGAAAATCCGAATTTTGTTGTTGATGCAGGCTGAGTGACGAAGATTTCCAGATTGGTTTCAGGTTGATGAATGTGTTTCTCGCCTTCCCGATTCTTGATTTGACATCCTCGTCCGTTCCTCCTGTGGTTGAGACAATGCTCCCTAGATAAGTGAAAGAAGTAACCTCTTTCAAATCCCTCCCGTTGATGGTGATTGGCGGTGGATGTTGCTGCTGTTGTTGTTGTTGGTTGGTTATTTTCATGACCTCCGTCTTGTCTATGTTCACCTGGAGTCCTGTCTTTGCTGCTTCTTCGACCAGTTTGTCGGTTTTCGCTTGTAAGTCTTCGATTTTGTGTGACATCAGACATAAATCATCCGCAAAATCCAGGTCTTCTAGGTTCTTCACGTCAGTCCAGGATATCCCTGTCTTCTCGTTTCCCACTGTCTGACGCATAATCCAGTCCACCACAATTAGGAATATCATTGGTGATAATAAGCACCCTTGTCTGACTCCTGTGTTTACTCCAAACGCCTCGCTGAGTTTTCCGTTGTGGATCACTTGACATGTGCCGTTGTCGTACAGCTGTTGAATAAGGTTGATGAATATTTGGGGTACGCCGTAGTACTCGAGGAGTTTCCAAATTACTTCGCGGTCAACGCTGTCGAAGGCCTTCTCAAAGTCTATAAAGTTGAGGTAGAGATTTGATTGCCATTCCATGCTTTGTTCGATGATAATGCGTAGAGTTGCAATTTGGTCAGAACATGATTTGCCTTTCCTGAATCCAGCTTGTTCTGGTCGCAGTTCTGCATCCAGTGCGTCCTTTATTCTCTCCAGGATGATGCGACTCAGAATTTTGCTTGGCGTCGACAGGAGCATGATTCCTCGCCAGTTCTTGCAGAGTCCCAGGTCGCCCTTCTTTGGTAGTTTCACGAGGTAACCTTCCTTCCAGTCAGTAGGCACCTTTCCCTCCTTCCAGGTCTTTTGCAATAATGGAGTCAGTATATCTGCCGTCGTTTCTGGGTCCGCTCTCAGTGCTTCTGGGGGTATTCCATCTGGTCCAGCTGCTTTTCCAGCTTTCAGAAGCTTGATTGCAGTCATGACTTCAGTTTTCGTTGGAGGATTGGTGTCAACTTGCAGTTGTGTACGTGCTGTTGTTGGTATTACTGGACGGGTTGCAGGTGGTGGTCGGTTCAAGAGTCCTTTGAAGTGGTCCGCCCATTGTTTAATCTGTCTTTCTTCTTTGGTAATTGGGTTCCCTTGGCTGTCTTTTATAGGTTTCACTTGTGTTGATCTCTTCCCGGATAGAGACTTGGTTATCTGATATAGTGTCCTCAGGTCCCTTTTGCCTGCTGCCTTCTCAGCTTCAGTAGCCAGGTTGTCGTAGAATTGTCTTTTGTCCTTCCTGGCACTCTTCTTCACTTCTTTGTCCAGTGCTGTGTAAGTTGAGTTCAGCGTCTCTTTCTCTTGTCCATCTTTGCATTGAATCATTTTCTCTTTCACTTTTCTCCTCTCCTCTATTAGTTTCCAAGTGTCTGTTGAGAGCCATTCCTTGTCTTGTTCCTTCTTTCTTCCTAAAACCGTTGAACACGTTTCGTTGAAAATTACCTTCAGAGAGTTCCAATGGTCCTCCACGGATGATTCCTCAGTAGCGCCACGTAGTGTTTCCTGCTTTGCTCTGACAGTTGCAGTGAAAGTGTCCTTTGTGGTTGTGTCTCTCAGTTTTTGCGTGTTGAACTTGCATTGTGGCCTATCCCCAGGTATCCTCGAGGCTTTCAGCTTCACCTTGAAAGTCCCTTGTACTAGATAGTGGTCTGAACCGACATCTGCTCCTCTCCTCGATCTTGTGTCCAGTAGGCTCCGTCTCCACTTCCTTGAGATTGAAATGAAGTCTATCTGATTTTTGGTGTGTCCATCTGGTGAAATCCATGTTGCCTTGTGTATATCCCTGTGTTTGAACACACTGCCACCAATCACCAAATCATTGAAGGCGCAGAAGTCTGAGAAGAGTTCGCCATTTTCGTTCATTTCACCGAGGGCCTCACGACCCATGGTGAGTTCTCTTCCTGTATTGTCTCCTCCCAGTTTCGCATTCATGTCGCCCATCAGGATTTTGATATCGCTCTTTGGGACGTTGTCCATTACTGTTTGTAGTTGACTGTAGAAATCCTCCTTCTTCTCATGTTCTGAGACGTTTGTAGGCGCGTAGCATTGAAGAAGAACTGCGTTATCTCCGAAACGGTTTCCCGCCCAGGTTCATAGACAAAAATCTCAAATCTAAGAGGACTTCAGAACAAGTCCAATCCGTTCCAAAAAAACACTTCTGCTCAATCTAGAATTCAAAGGTGATATTGAAGCAGAAATCCTTCGCAAACGCCTCTGCAAATCTCTAAGGAAAACATACTTCGCCGCGAGCCTACGACTGACGTTTTCTTGCAAGAAAATGTTCAGCCAGAACGTGAAAGACAAGCCGTCGCATTGAGCCACCTCAACGTGCATATACCAGTTTACTTGCTCTTGTGGAGCTGAGTACATCGGCCGTACCATGCGCCGACTTGGAAAACGCGCTCGTGAACACTACCCAGCCAGGCTAGTAAAAGGCGACCGAAAACGTTTATACAGTTCAGTGACAGAACATCTGGTCAACTCAGAACATTCAGCGCCTTTCGAAAAATCCTTCAAAGTAATATACAAGATTCAATCAAACCTATCAAAGGGAGTCAGATCAAGACATCTGGGCATAGCTGAGGCGCCACCTATCCAAAAGCTCAAACCCACACTTTGTATCCAAAAGAATTACGTCCAACCCCTCTCCCTACCATGGCCATCATAAACAGGTAAAATTTTTAGTAATGACAATCTCATCGCCTTTCTTATCTAAACTTCCTGTTTATTCATGTTATTTTAAGTTTTCTTAATCCCTGTCTACACTACCATATTTTCATACCCACTCTTCCTGTTTATTTTGTCATTTTACTATTTCTACATATTTAATCCCTGATTGCATAAACAATTATTCATCATATTAGTTTTTTATCCAGACATCCTGTATATTTTGTTATTTCTACATTTCTAACCCCTAATTGCACAATTTCAATCTTCTTAGTTATTATAATGCTACTTTGTTCGAGTTTTATCCGTCCCCCTGTTTATTATGGCATTCTAATTCCTAATTGTAATTTTTTATTAATTTGACCCTTAACCGGAAATTATTCTGGAACTTTCCCATCCACTTGATATAAATACACGAATGTGCAGCCTAGATGATGACTTCGTCGAAAAGAAAATCTTCTTCGCTGCAATTGTCTTTTTAAAGATAAGTTCGATAAAAGCAGGACGGAAATTCATTCATCTCAAATCAGTGGGGATGTCTGCTGCTTTCAGGATAAGGAAAAAGGTTCTAATCTTCGACACGTATGCCAAATCACTACTACTATACGGCATGCGCGTCACAAAGAGCATTAAAACAGCCTGCTGCAGACATTCATTAGCAGCTTCCATCTCTGGAACCATATTGAGGATTAGATTGTCAGTCATGGATGATAAACAACAAGGAACTCAGGCGACGAACCAGCCTATCTAATGTGAATAGAGATAGAAATGAACTGAGTGATATTTTAAATTTCAGGCCAGGAATGTATGTTCAGTCGTGGTCTATTGATTATCTCTACAACTCACGAATACGTACTTAACACTATTTGCACAGTAATCAGATGACGTGTTCTTTTGAAGTTCTATGAATCTATCAAGTCTTTATTCGTCTATATTTGATGCTTGTTTTTAAATTCTGTGATCACCTTTCAATTTCTTTACTCTCTGTTTGTTCATTAATGAATGCTTCACTTATGCACAAAAAACAGAATTATTTCAGCTTGAATGAATCCCAGTGTCTAGAAACTGTTGTTTGCAAAATGCTAAATTAAATGTTTAACAATTCTTAGATTCATCTCTGAGTGTTTATCTCAACTGTTTAATTAGCGGTAGATCAGTGCTTTTAAATGGTGTAGGGGCATGAAGCTTCACGAAAACCCTTTTCAGCAGGCTACTGCAGACGTTCGTCAACAGATGCCTTTGCTTCATCCTGAAGATCAGATTACCACAAAGGATTAGCAATGAACCAACCAACAACCTATAGCGTCAAAGACATGCCGGAGAAAGTGCAGATGCACTGGACGTAGGCTGAGGATACCTTGTGAGTGACAGCACACACTAGACAGACACTTGAGTGGAAGCCGAAAGGAACTTGATGAGATTGTCATCTGAGGGTGACGTGGAAGAGATTGTATGCGGGAGAAATAAGGGTTTATGGGCAGTCCTGGAGCCAGTTAAATGGGACTGCAGAGAACTAAGTGAGGTAGTGACGTGGATTTACAGCCACATACTTCACTCAGAACCAAATGGGAATAAAAACAATAATGTACACAACTATAACTACAGTCGGATGGTGTATTCTGTTTTAGTGGTAGGTATGGTGAAAAACTTTTGGAATATGATCATAACATCTTATTACGAAAGACATGGATATATTCAAGATTACTGAAGGATGTGAATATTCACCTAATACTTCATTGTAGATATAACTATAGAGTCACTTAATGGCAACAGCACAGTATTGGTGAGGTAACTGACTTAGATCATGGGTCCTGAAGGTAAATTAGACATAACTATTTTCCAGTGTTTTTCAAAAGGATTAGAAATAAACATGCTTCTTGTAATATTGAGGTAGAAGTCAGTCTGGTAATTGGACCTGTTCATATTTATTTAATTCAATTTTATATCTTCCCGTTGACTGGTTGGACCAAAATGCTCGGTCTCAAGCTGACGTGTTGGCTTCTTGTTCAGATGCTTCGACGATGTCTGGGCAAGTAATTAGAAGTTAATTGATCAAATCAATCGACGGGAAAATCTAAAATTGAATTCAATAATTAATATAACCCGTTGTACAAGAGGTTGCTCTCGTGGCTCTCTTGGTTTAATGGATAGCGCCTTGGCGGGAACATCATCACTCACTGCGGAATGTAGGTGCACCCAGTTGACGAGTCCAAAACGGGACGAAATGCGCGTTATCCTGGATTCCACTGCTAGTCACCGTCCACCAATTAAATTCTGTTCATATTCAGACTATATGCAGTCTTTTTAGGCTTCTATGGCATATATCTGTTTCACTTACTACATCTTAAGTTATACCGATACTACTCTGGAGGCAGCTGAATCGGCAAATTCTCCTGGCTAAACACTAACTCGCTGCGCAATTAATCTGGATTCAAATATTACTTGTTTCCACTTGTTTGCTGGGTAGTTTCATCCCAAAAATGTACAGGATCACTTCGTATTTACAAAAATCATGCAGGCAGCAGCATAGTTAACTTGCCCTTTTTCATCGTATCATAAAAATTTGGTGAGCGTTGCGGGTATCGTATCATTACATCAGACTTTTCATTTAGTGAAAATATCTAATTCGTGAACTTCACCTGACTTACTAGCTGATCTTAAGCATGAATAGAGATAAGAGGCTGAGCGCATGAATAACAAACTCACCCCGTAGAAAAACAACTGCACAGCTGCTAAATCTTCAATGAACATCAAGAAGTCATTGTACATTGGAGGCGGGAAGGCTTCTTAATTCGAGGATGGATAACGTCAATGGTTGAAAGCCTCTAGGAAGCTAGTCACTTCAATACATTTAAGATAAGCGTAGGGAATTGGAATTTTTACACCAAGATTATGACTAGCTCTGATAGGCAAAGAGATGAGGAAATATGGCGTAGAAGAGCCAAAGATCTTTGACAGTAGTTGTAGTAGAAGCAAATTCGTGAAATCAAAACAAGATTTTGAGCGAACAATTGTTTTCGATAACTTCTTCTTCAGGCTCTATATATATAAATTATATTATTGTTCCCTTGGGTTCCTAGTGGAACACAGGACTTCAACTGCACACCTCCACTTGCTTCTGTCTTCTGCTGTACTTTTCACTTGCATCCATGTTAATCCACACTGTTTCATCTCTTCCTCACACGATCTCCTCCATGTCGCCCTTGGAAGTCCCACTCGCCGCTTCCCTTTCGGGTTCCACTCGAGCATTGGCCTGACGCGCGATGTCACCAAACGGCCTCCTCAGCGAGTGTCCAATCCATCTCCACTTTCTCCTGCATATTTGTTGAGCGAATGGTTCCTGTTTTTTTTGTTCCCATAGCTTCTTGTTTGTGATTCTTTCCGGCCATCTAATCTTCAGTATTGAACGAAGACAGTTGTTGATAAAGGTCTGCAACAGGCTGTTGGAAATATTCTTTGTGACTCCCCAAGTTTCTGATCCGTATAGAAGAACTGACTGACTTGACGTTTGTATTCAAAATCCGAATTTTGTTGTTGATGTAGGCTGAGTGACGAAGATTTCCAGATTGGTTTCAGGTTGATGAATGTGTTTCTCGCCTTCCCGATTCTCGATTTGACATCCTCGTCCGTTCCTTCTGTGGTTGAGACAATGCTCCCTAGATAAGTGAATGAAGTAACCTCTTTCAAATCCCTCCCGTTGATGGTGATTGGCGGTGGATTTTGCTGCTGTTGTTGTTGTTGGTTGGTTATTTTCATAACCTCCGTCTTGTCTATGTTCACCTGGAGTCCTGTCTTTGCTTCTTCTTTGACCAGTTTGTCGGTTTTCGCTTGTAAGTCTTCGATTTTGTGTGACATCAAACATGAATCATCCACACGCGAAATCCAGGTCTTCTAGGTTCTTCACGTCGGTCCAGGATATCCCTGTCTTCTCGTCTCCCACTGTCTGATGCATAATCCAGCCCACCACAATTAGGAATATCATTGGTGATAATAAGCACCCTTGTCTGACTCCTGTGTTTACTCCAAACGCTTCGCTGAGTTTTCCGTTGTGGATCACTTGACATGTGCCGTTGTCGTACAGCTGTTGAATAAGGTTGATGAATATTTGGGGTACGCCATAGAACTCGAGTAGTTTCCAAATTACTTCGCGGTCAACGCTGTCGAAAGCCTTCTCAAAGTCTATGAAGTTGAGGTAGAGATTTGATTGCCGTTCCATGCTTTGTTCGATGATAATGCGTAGAGTTGCAATTTGGTCAGAACATGATTTGCCTTTCCTGAATCCAGCTTGTTCTGGTTGTCGGAGTTCTGTATCCAGTGCGTCCTTGATTCTCTCCAGGATGATGCGACTCAGGATTTTACTCGGCGTCGACAGGAGCATGATTCCTCGCCAGTTCTTGCAGAGTCCCAGGTCGCCCTTCTTTGGTGTTTTCACGAGGTAACCTTTCTTCCAGTCAGTAGACACCTTTCCCTCTTTCCAGATCTTTTGCAATAATGGAGTCAGCATATCTGCTGTCGTCTGTGTGTCCGCTTTCAGTGCTTCCGGGGGTATTCCATCTGGTCCAACTGCTTTTCCAGCTTTCAGAAGCTTGATTGCATTCATGACTTCAGTTTTCGTTGGAGGATTGGTGTCAACTTGCAGTTGTGTACGTGCTGTTGTTGGTATTTCTGGACGGGTTGTAGGTGGTGGTTGGTTCAAGAGTCCTTTGAAGTGGTCCGCCCATTGTTTAATCTGTCTTTCTTCTTTGGTAATTGGGTTCCCTTGGTTGTCTTTTATAGGTTTCACTTGTGTTGATCTCTTCCCGGATAGAGACTTGGTTATCTGATATAGTGTCCTCAGGTCCCTTTTGCCTGCTGCCTTCTCTGCTTCAGTGGCCAAGTTGTCGTAGAATTGTCTTTTGTCCTTCCTGGCACTCTTCTTCACTTCTTTGTCCAGTGCTGTGTAAGTTGAGATCAGTGTCTCTTTCTCTTGTCCATCTTTGCATTGAATCATTTTTTCTTTCACCTTTCTCCTCTCCTCTATTAGTTTCCAAGTGTCTGTTGAGAGCCATTCCTTGTCTTGTTTCTTCTTTCTTCCTAAAACCGTTGAACGCGTTTCGTTGAAAATTACCTTCAGGGAGTTCCAATGGTCTTCCACGGATGATTCCTCAGTGGTGCCATGTAGTGTTTCCTGCTTTGCTCTGACAGTTGCAGTGAAAATGTCCTGTGTGGTTGTGTCCTTCAGTTTTTGCGTGTTTTCTTCAGGCTCTACAGTTATAAATCCATGAATAATAGAGTACATATAGCCAATAAAGGCAAATGAAAATAATATCAGAAACTGTATTGGGGTGCATGTGTAAGTTGAGATGATAGTCCATTAGTTAACATAATCAATCAAATGTGTATAGGGTGTATAGTCAGAAAAATGTGATGAAGTGTGAATGAACAATTGGGTGATATAGTGCTGTTTTTTAGTCAACAGAATACAAGTGTCATTGGGGTGAGAGAAATGTGATAGACACAAAATGCACACAAACACACATTAACAAAGGGGACACTGAATGTGAGGGCTGACCGATAATGTCTAATGATAAAATAAACTGATATTAATAAAATAAAGAGGCTAAATAGTAAATTGTAATAAGATGTTACAGAGTTGGTAGGCTTAGTGTGAAATCACAAGGGTTGACAAAATTAAGGGTAAAAATGAGGTGAAATAAACTGGGTGGAGAAATGGATAATAAAGACATGATATCACAGAATGATAATAATGGTAATAATAATACGGAAAATTATGATCCTGGTGACCTTATAGTGGGCCAGGGTAGACAGAGGGAGTGGATAAGTTTTTTCTGCACACATAAGCCTACCAACTCTGTAACATCTTATTACAATTTACTATTTAGCCTCTTTATTTTATTAATATCAGTTTATTTTATCATTAGACATTATCGGTCAGCCCTCACATTCAGTGTCCCCTTTGTTAATGTGTGTTTGTGTGCATTTTGTGTCTATCACATTTCTCTCACCCCAATGACACTTGTATTCTGTTGACTAAAAAACAGCACTATATCACCCAATTGTTCATTCACACTTTTATTCGCTGTCATAATTATGTAGAATCAAAGAAGAATTGTCTCCATGTAAAATTATGTATTTAAATGCGATTGTACAGCTTTTGAAAATGAAATCGCCGAAAAGATATCTTTGCTGAACTTCTTATTCTTCTCAATCTAACATTCACACTTCATCACATTTTTCTGACTATACACCCTATACACATTTGATTGATTATGTTAACTAATGGACTATCATCTCAACTTACACATGCACCCCAATACAGTTTCTGATATTATTTTCATTTGCCTTTATTGGCGGTATGTACTCTATTATTCATGGATTTATAACTGTAGAGCCTGAAGAAGAAGTTATCGAAAACAATTGTTCGCTCAAAATCTTGTTTTGATTTCAATATGGGGATATTTCATTTACGCAAATTCTTGACGTTGTTAACTAAACAGTAGAATACCCTACTGCCACCATGCAGACAGTAATTACTGGCACACAGAGGTTGTGGCCATCGTGATGCAACCAAAAGCATAGAAGGCACTTATGCAGTGGGAACCAGCCTGCACCAAGATCATGACAGTAACATTTAACTCAAAATGTAGGGAAATAGTAATTATACAATGGTGCGCATTTACAGAGAGAAAATGGAGGAATTCAACAAACAAGTGGAACCAGTGATGGACCAGATCTCAAATGCATGTAACAAAATTCTAATGGATAATATGAAGGTCAAACTGAGGTAGAGAAGCACTTGTTAAAATGAAAGAGAAGGAATAACTGTTAGAAGACATCTGCATGCCTACTAATTTATTGATTGGATGCAGCATTTAAAAATAGCAAGTGATACAATTTTCACCAGATAAGTGAAGATAGACTTCATCTCAGTGTCGAGTAGGCGGAGGCAGGAATTCGAAAGAAGTCACATCTTTCATTGACTTGAGCAGCATTGTTTCATCTACATTCATCAAGACAGATGAGGATGTCAAATCCAACATCGAAAAGGCAAGACAGACGCTCATCACTGGAAAATCAGCTTTGAAAACTACGGTACTTAGAATATCAGTGTTAAGTCAAGTCTTCTATATAATTCAACAACTTTTCTCGCCATGAAAAGCATTTCCAACAGCTGACTGCAGAATTCCACCAACAACAGTCTTCACTGCCTATTGGAGATCAGATGGCCAGCTATCTAAAAATAATCAGCAACAAGAAACCCAAGGGATGGACCAGCCAAGAGCCTATCGTTGAAGAAATATCCCAGGGAACATTTGGATATCTATAGGGCACACGATGAGAAGATCATCGAACTAAATCACTTACCAACCCCATGGAGGACATCGTGTGAGGAGAAGACGAGAGCTCATTTTCAATCCTTGAGCCTGTTTAAAAGGAATACGGTGAAGTGAGTGAGATGGTGATCTGCTGTACAAGCCAAATATTCTACTTGGAAGTCGAAGGAATAATAGTTATAATAATTAATCCATCTAAATTCCGAATAGCCTAACAGCATGGTCTTATAATGGTAACCAGTATTTTTCTTGGAAGGCGAAATTTCTGAATGTATAACGCTATAAACTACTGACTAATTGATTTCAGTAGTTGGATCACACCCACACCAACCAGTTAAGCTTTCTGGCTAGCCAGATGGAAGGTTTCTAAACGCCAGACAGCCGTTTAGCCCATCTGAGTCCGTTCTCATCAGTGTACTGTATACGGTTCGACTCAACCAAGACAGTCAAGTCAGTGTTCAAACCGTCTGTATTACGCCTAGTTAACTACTTGAATGAACTAGCTATACATGTAGACTATTTGTTCAATAATTCAGATCGATTAACTATTAACCGATGAAATCAAGTGAGAAAAAAGAACGAATTTTTCAAAAAAATTTCATTTTTTTTCTCATTTACCACTCGTATATATAAATAATTTGAAATTAAATTGAGCTTAACTGCACATTTGAGTTTGTTTTGTTTGTTTTTTCTTCCTTTATTAATCTTTGTTTCCATAAATTCGTAAGTAGCGTTGTAGAATACAAAAGTCGTTTTAGTTATTCACGAATTCAAATGACTATATATGTGTATGTCTAATTTACTTTTGTACTACCATGATTATAAATTCTAGTCTGATGACGAGAAATCATACTTTATTGAAAACATAACAAGAAAAACGTGTGAGTTCGTGGTTTTTTTAATGATAAAAATTTATATTTACTCATAAAGTGACTCCTACAGCTTGTCTGAGTTGAAAGTATTATTAGTATTATTATTGTTTGTTTTAGTTCCTAGAGGAATATAGGGCTTCAGCCGCACATCTCCATTGCGTTCAGTTCTCTGTCAACGTTTTCACCTGGCTCCACGTCTGCCTACATGTTTTCATCGCCTCTTCAAATGACCTCCTCTATATCACCCCACCCTCGCACGGACGACCAACTTGCCTCTTCCCATTCGGGTTCCACTCGAGCGATGGTCTGGCGTGTGATGTCATTCACTCGATGGTTTGTTTTCTCAGAGTACGGTCAATCCACCACCTCCATTTCTTCCTGCATATTTGCTGCAAAATTGGTTGCTGCCGGGTTGGTTCGCTCACTGCCAGAGATCCCTCCGTTTTGATGATCTTTTCTGGCTGGCCATCTGATCTTGAGTAGTATTGAGCAAACGTAGCTGTTGATGAAAGTCTGTAGTTTGTTTGAGGTGCTCTTCATGACGCATCAAGATTCTGATCCGTATAGTAGCACTGACTTCACATTAAAAGTTAAAAATCCGGATCTTATTTTTCATGCTGAATGCCGCTGATCTCCACACAGATTTGAAAGTAATGAAAGCTTGAAATAGTTGAAACTAGTCGTGTGATATTGATTTTTCGTCGAATTAAAAGTTTTTTGAAGAATTCAGTGGAGAATAGAGGACAACAATATTCGCTGAATTTAGCATGGGGCTTCAGTAACGTATCATCATTTCACATTGTCCTCCACAGTCCCACATAGCTCGCTGTGTGATTGATCACTGATGAGTACTGACCCAAACGGGCTAAAAGGCCGTTTGATGTTAAGAAAACTTCGATCTGGTTAGCTAGAAAGCCTAAATGGTTGGTGTGAGTGTGGTCCAACTACTGAAATCAATCAATCAGTAGTTTACAGCGTTATTCCTTAAGAAATTTCCCTTTCCAAGCGAAATGCTGGTTACCACTATAAGACTATGACATTAGGCTATTCGGAATTTGGATGGACAAATTATTATTGTTCCTTTGAGTTCCGAATGTAATATTTAGCTTCTACAGTGGATCACCATCTCAGTCATTTCAACGCATTCCTTTTCAACCGGCTTCGGGTTGAAATATAAGCTCTCGTCTTCTCCTCACACGATCTCCTCCATGTCACCCTCCATTACTCAATCCCAAATCGTAGTTCTGCATACAGGTCCTACTCGAGGGACTACACAGCGGGTCCTTAGCGCACGTTCAATCCATCTCCATCTCCTTCTAGATATTTGTGAAGTGATATTTTCTTGCTTGGTTTGTTGTCAGCCAGTGTTTTTTGCAGCCTATCCTTCCTGGACAGCCGGCCATCTGATCTTCAGTTTTGAGCGAAGACAGGTGATTATGATGAAATTCTGCTTTTGGAGAAGCTTGACGTGACGCCCATGATTTAGTATTCAAACCACACAGAGACCCTGACTAACTTGAGCTGAGTGCCGAAAATTCAAATCTTTCTTCTTCTTCTTTTTCTACTTTCTGAGTAGTGTTAATTCCATACCGATTTCAGATTGATGAAGGTCTGTTTGGCCTTTCTAATCTTATTTTGGCCTGGTTTAACATACTCACCTGTACCACCGCCTATAAGTTGAAATGATGATACCTAGAGAAAATAGAGAAAGTGACCTCTTTCAATCTCTACCATGAACAGTGATAGGTGCTGGTTCTTGTTGGTTGGTTGTTTTTATCACCGCCATCTTCTCTTAGTTCTCTTGAAGTCCCGTTTTAGCGACCTGATTCTTCTGCCAGTTTGTTTGGTTTTCTCCTGCAACTCTTGGAGTCTCTGTGACATTAAACATAAATCATCCGCGAAGTTCAGATCTTCCAGTATCTTCTAAATGCTCCGATGTATTTTCTTATCTTTTCGGCCGTAATACACTGTTCGAAGCATAATCCAGTCCACTTCAATTAGAAATATCATCACTGACATTAGGTGGCCTTGTCTAACTCCTTGAAAGGAGTATACCATAGTTTTGAAGTAATTTCCAAATCGCCTCGTGATCAACGCTGTCGAAAACCTTTACAAAGTTGATCAAGTTAAGTTTTCAGGCTTGACTGCCATTCTATGCTTCGTTCCATGTTGATGATGCATAGAGTTGCAATTCGATCAGCACATGATTTGCCTCTCCTGAATCCAGCTTGTTCAGGGCTGTCAGAGTTCCGCATCCAGTGCATCCTTTATTCTCTCCAGGATGATGCAATTTAGTATTTCACTTGACATGGGCAAGAGCATTATTCTACGCCAGTTCTTTCAGAGGCTTAAGTGGTCCTTCTTTGATAAGGTAACCAGCCTTTCTTATAATCATTAGGCAAACATTGTGCAATATTGGCGTGAGCATACCCAATGCAGTGTCTAGGAAGCTTCTGGTTTAACGAAGGTGGTACATCATACATCATCACACTCTCGTCACTGCATTTACAATATCATTGGATTATAATAAGGGGCTTATTACTACCTTACTGCATTTCACTATTGTCCCAATAGTATTCAAGCATATTATTCTACAATATGATTTATTTCTTGTGTAGATGAATATTGTGGACTATATTTGGCACATAAAATTATGGAGAAATGGTTTCTTTCTTTTGGCCATAGCATGCCTGTAAGTTTTAAATTGATACAATTTCAATGTTACTGTTATACTCATTTTCAAATGCCACCACTCATAAAGAAATATTTCCTTCGTGCTGGTTACTCATCGGCCAAACTTTTGCTTAACTCTCACGGCCACTAATACGCAGTTCTGTTCACGTCTGAGACACTTCCAAAGCATTGACTCGTTTACTACAGAACAGCAGGCTCGGAAAAGTGTAAAACTCTAAAAGTATGGGCAAGCAATCCCACAGTGTAAATATCAACAAAACCTGGGCTACTGATAATTTTGATGGCTCCAGGCCTGAAGCTAGTTAGATGTTGTGTTCTGCACTCAAGGAATGCAGAAAAAAGAGTAGATAGATTATTTAAAGAAAATGTATATTTTTTTTATTCCTTCACGCTCCCAGTGGAACACAGGGCTGCAAGCTAGAGGCTTGAAGTTTCTTTAGCAGTGTTTATTTTTACAGGATGAGGTTGCTAGCCTCATGCCCAACTTTTCCCCTTAACCAGCTTTATTTATGGCTTAGTGAGGTAAAAGAGTGCATCGACCGGGGATCGAATCGCGGACCATGTGCATGGTCTGCGAGCATCCTAACTGCTATGCCACTAAGCTATGTGGATGCTTAAAATTAAATAAGCACAAAAAGAGTCTTATGTAACTGACAAATGATTTCACTTTTCTAACTCGAAGTATAACTTCTATTCAAATTAGTCTTTTTCAAATGAAAATTTCCAAAAAAAACAATCAGCCTTTCTAATATGTATTGTAATACATCAACAGGTAAAAATTCAATGTACACCCTGAAATATTGATTGATTTCCTCTCCTTCAGACTGTTGGATTTATGCATAGCAATAATCATCGCAGTAAATAAGAGGCTACAAACACTATTTCCAATCAATTTCATTCTGATCACCCTCATGGTAAGTTATTTGATTAGAAATTTTGTGAAGAAATATATAACAATAAAATTTCATTTATTTTTGCTGGTAGTTTGTAACATCATATAATAATATTCATATGGTTGTGTAATTCAGATATCGTGGTACAATATTCACATAACTGGATGACGTTTCGAGCACATTTAACTATTATTATCCCCTTGGGTTCCGAGTGGAACATAGAGCTTGACCAACACACCTCCACCTTGTCCTCCTTTTTTCTGATGTCCGCTTCATCTCGGTCCACAATCCCGCATAATCTCTCATCTCCTCCTCCTCCCCAACACACGATCTCCCCCATATCACCCTCGCACCGATGATCCTCTCGTCGCTTCACATTGGATTCCACTGGAGTTTTGGCGTGGCGCGCGATACCGTTTGACGGCCTCCTCAGTGTATGCCCGATGCCATCCATCTCCATTTTCTCCTACATATTTGTTAAGCAATCGTCTCTTGTTCGGTTTGTTCATTGCCACAGTTTCTTGTTACTAATTCTTTCTGGCCGGCCGGCTGGCTGGCCATTTGATCTTCAGTATGGAGCCAGCTCGTGAAAGGGGAAGCTGTTGATAAAAGTCTGTAGTAGGCTGTTTGAAATCCTTTTCGTGACACACAGTGCAAGTTTCTGGCCAGTATAGAAGAACTGACTGACTTACTAACTTCACAGTTGTTTTGAAAATCCTAGTAATATTCTTTGTGATGAGGCGGAGTGCAGATTTCCGAACTGGATGCAGGTTGATGGATGCGTATTTTGTCTTTCTGATTCTGGCTGGATGTACTATCTTCAATTCATTCCACTGGCCTGTGGTTGAAACCATACTTCCTAGATAACTGAAGGAAGTGACCTTTGTCAAATATTTCTCGTTGATGGTGATTGGTGCTGGTTGTTGTTGATGCTGTTGGGTGATTATCTTCATCACCTCCGTCTTCTCTATGTTCACCTGAAGTCCTGTCTTCAATGCTTCTTGAGCCAGTTTGTTGGTTTTCACCTGTAAGTCTTCGAATTTTTGTGGCATTAAACATTATTCATCCACGCGCGAAATCCAGATCTTCCAGAGTCTTCTTTTTTGTCAGTGCAACCTATTGCTGTCTTCTCACTCCCATGCACAGTCTGATGCATAATTGAGTCCACCAAAATTAGAAATATCATTGGTGATAATAGGCAGTCAGCTTGTCTTACTCTTGTATTCACTTTGAACATTTTGCTGAGTTTTTCATTGTGGATCACCTGACACGTGGCATTGTCATATAGCAGTTGGATGAGGATGATAAAGTTTTGGGCACTGCATACCGAAGTGTTGAACCAGTTTCCAAATTACTTCTGTGTCAACACTGTCGAAAGCCTTTTCGAAGTTGACTGCCGCTTTATATCGTTTTACCCCTCGCTAGTTTTTCCTATAGCAATCTTCCAAACATCCGATATAAGCGTTACGCCATTTCGACTGCGAGGGTTTGGTTTTGGTGCAATGAACAAAGGTTCAGTGTTTAACTTCTCTTTCTATCTTCACACTACTATATTACATTTTAATACTTTCACCGTGTCTCACCTATTGCGTTATTTAAGTCATTTAATTTAGCAGGGTCAATCATTGTAGCTCTCGTTAAGCTCCTATTTTTCGATAAACTAATTGACACCGATATAAGTATAAAACTTGGGCACTGTGGTAGTAAGTAATTACATATTAGTTTGTTTATTAGATGCATCACACAGTGAAACAGTATTATTTACTGGATGACAAGGTTTCGAACAAAATTTATTATTGTTCACAATCATATCAATTATAATCGCACAACTTCGAAACCTGAGTTTAATAGTTTTCTTTGTTCTCTCCTATTTGTCGTCGTAGGGGTAGTAGAATTTTCCAGATATCTGGGATAGGTGTTGAATCATTGCTATTACATGTATTTGCAGTTGATTCCATAAACAGAGCTTCTGTTATCAATCTCTCCCTCCACCCTGAGACATTAGATTTTAAAACTGTCATCCTATCCCATCCTATTGTATGGTTGTTTGTAAGTGCATATAGTGCCATAGCTGAATTATTCTCCAGATTTCTTATCTTATTCGGCTCAACCAATCTAGATTTTGCTAGGTTTTTATGTTCGGCTAGTCTGTTCTACTAGTGCGACCTACATACTTGACCTAACAATCATTGCAGGTAGGGTATTAGATAAACTAAATTGTTTTGTTTTAAAGGCTCTACAGGATCCTTTAGCCGACAAAGCTTGTTTCTAATTGAGTTTGTTGGTTTGAATGCCACTTTTATTCCTGTCTTGTTGAGAATTCTGCGTAAGGTTTCCGAGGTTCCTTCCTCGTATGGAATTACCACTGATGATTTTGATTCCTTATTGTTCGTGTTGTCTTGCGCATATTTGACATGCATGTCGTCATTAATGTTACTATTACTATCACGTTTATTATTATCATTATTACTATCACTATTATTATTATTTATTCTATTTTTACATTTCCCTGCATACTTTCTGACAAATTTATCAGGGCAATTATAAAGTTTCAAGGCTTTTCTAATATGTCTCACTTCCTGTCTTAGATTTCCCTTGGTACTACTTAGTGTTTGTGCTCTGTCACTTAACAGTTTCACCAATGGGATGATCGTAAGTCCAAATATCTGTTTGAATGTGCATGGGTTTCCTGTAAACACACTAGTGTGTTTAACTTCCCATCTTCTTTCTTTTTTACGCTACAATCTAACAATGGAAGTTCCGCCGCTTCCTCGCTTTCCAATTCATAAGTGAATTGATGAATTGCCTCCACCTTTGAGTTAATGCGTTCAAAAAATCTATCGATATCCTGTGTTGATGAGTCAGGTGTACGTCCGAGTATGACACAGAGGAGATCATACGAGAAGGAAAGGGAGGCAACCACAAAGCCAACCTTTAGGGTTGTATAAAACAAGATGAAGCAAAGATATGCTGCTGAAGCCCTATTTTCCTCCTGGAACCCATGGGAAAATTAACACTGTCAGAGGGAATCACATGGGAAATTATTGGACACAACTATTTGAAATTAGTCTCTGAAAGGAGTTTAATCAATTCACAGGCTAACTGTGCTTCTCACCTCTCAAGACACAACGTAAAAGCAAGATTCGTTAAAATGTAGAAGATTAGATCCCATTGTATTAAAAATAACTTCCATGGGCAATGAATGATACACACACACACATCAATTTGCAGTTAAGCTCCTCTTTTTTTGCAGGAACTATTCACCTAGTCTTATTATTTTATTTTTTTGAATTTAGATCATAATATGGATCATTTCTACAGTGTTATTCTGTCTCACTGCCGGTTATCGGAAATTATCAGTAGCAATAGTGATTACAGTCTTCGTAAGTATGTCGGCGTGTGGATTAGGACTGGAATTAGAAGCAAGGCGGAGAAAACTATGGATTCTAATGCTTATATCAGCTATTGCACTCATAGTATGCGGAATTTGTTTAGTTAAGTTTTGTAATAATTTGGTAAGTATGCTCTGGTTTCTATTGTATTGTATTGTGTTTGTTTGTATAAATATGGTTTAATCAATCGTGAGTTGATTCTACATCAGTATTTTTCGTCTATTATCTCTACAAAACCTATTATCCAAGGTTGTCGTGGTTAATTCGGAAGCAGAATCTAAGCAGAACTTATTTCCAGAGCATCAGACACTTTGAATTCTGCCAGCAAACCTACAATGAGATAGAAACAATGGTCTCGTTTAACTTCAATTACAACGAAAACATTTTATTATTCGAAATACATGGTATGTGTCTAATTTGCAAAACCTCGGAAATTAAAGCCAAAAATAAACCAATCAGAAACTGCTAAATCAAGCTATCACGTCTAACAACGACAAGTTGTCCATTCTCACAGGATAGCTGTGTTTCCTGCTCTCATAATAACTCACTTATAGCAGCAATTGTAGCTTCCGAAAGCTTATTCATCCAAAGTCCTTCTACCAAACTACTTATCATGGTGTTTTATGTTATGCCAACAATTAACTTTTTTATGAATACACTAATATCACCGCATATCCTAGTCTAATATTAGTTTGGAATCGATCACAAACATTAGTTGTGTGAATTACTCACATACAAATAAATGACATCACTTTACTTTAAGTTTGATTACGGAGCAATGTTAGTTAGCGAATCATTGAAAGCCGGGCAAGTACAGGACAACTGTTTCGACATAGTTTGTGACCACATTTCAACAAAACGCACGCACCACCTCATTGTCAGGGACTTCACCCACAACCTACAGGATACGAGGCGTGTTAGTCTGGCTAAATTTGGGGATTGAAAGAAGTTTGAATTCACGGGACATTGGATTCCGTCTCAGTGCCTGAATCATCAACCAGCCCTCCTCGGAACCCGAAATTCTCGTGTTCGATCCCCGTCAGTGGAGTCTTGGGTGTGTATTAGATAGTTGGAGGCGATTGGCGGGAAACCTCGGAACTCCATTGTGTGCTAGTTGGCACTCACCAGTCAGAAAAGAGTATATAAAACCTTGAAAGGACTCATTTTCTTTATGAGATTCGAACCCGCGTCATTCAGTGTCGCACTCGGGCTCGCGATTGACCTCCTGTAGGATTGTATTGGATACTTTCACTGGACACCAGTAACTTGTGTGATGTGTCTAGTCCTTACAAGGACGTAACCTAGGTCCAAGGCTTCCTGCCGATTGCCTCCAACCATCTAATATCATCAAATCAATATGCTTCATGATGCTGAGCTACCTAGAATGGTGGGCACATTGCAAACTTGACTGACTGACAGAATTCAGTCTGCACCAAAGTAAGGACTAGACACATCACACTAATTACTAGCATCCAATCAAAGTGGTCTTTAATGTGTACTGTCCAAGCAGTGTCCTAAAACAGAACGAAACGGCTGTCCAGTCCTCCCAGCTGGTTTTTAATCTTTCTCTAACTAGCACCAATCCATAATCAAACTTGAAACCAGTCAAATCTCAACAAATTAACTCTTGACATAATTTACATAAAATATTTTCAGGACTAACCTCGAGCATTTACATTCTGATCTAAGTTCATAGATTTGCGTATTTCTTTCTTTTTTGTTATTTTTCAGTTTTGCACAGTAATAGCTGACTTTTTTGTTACCTGTGCTGCAGCTATGGTAAGCCAGTGTATCATATCTTTAAAATATTTTCTTCATACAATACTGGGTCCGAATCCAGGCATGTGTCTACTTATGAAGAGTCCCAAACTAGGCTGACGAACCAGCTGGCTTTTCAGTACTCCCAGGTTTTCCAATAGTTCTCTAATCAATGTTAGCTTATGGCGAAATTCTGAAACCAATCAAATCCATGCAAACCAACACTATTATACAAAAATCATCACGAATGAGGAGTAATTTTTAATAGGGAATTTATATAGGCTACTAGTACAGACGCTTCAACGATATCTGAAGATTACCGTTGAGTTATTTTGGTTGGTTGTAACCAGCGCTGCAATTCTGGTTCATCCCATTCTGGACGCGTCAGCTGGATGTAACTAAACCCCAGTGAGTTAAAGTAATCCGATATGGTGCGGCTCTTTTGGGCAAGTAGCCCGATAGATAACACGTTGGCATTTAAGATAATGGATGCAGCTTTCTAATCTCTGTAGTAACCCTATCACATTCACTGAAGGAGAGTGCAAGTATATGTAGCTCATGTGTCTTAAACAGGATCAATTTATCATACACAAATCCGAATAACGGTAGTAGTCACCTTGGAAAATGAGCTGCTGACATCAAGTTCTACGTAATATTAGATGGTTAGAGGCAATCGGCAGGAAGCCTTGGACCTAGGTTTCGTGCTAGTTGGCACTCTTCAGCAAGGCGTATCTGCAACCCTGAAGGAACTGATAGAATTCAGTCTGCACCAAAGAGAGGACTAGACGCATCACACTAGTTACTAGTGTCAAATCAAAAAGTTCCACGTAAGATAACTACATTTTGGTCCTATCTTTCAAGATATTTACCAAGACGAATTAGTAGATAATCTTGAATAACACTCTCTGAATGTTATGGTTACGAGAAGTTTCAGATTCTAAGCAGTTTACCTACATCTATGCAATATTTATATACATTTAATCTGACCTATTATTACACTTGGTAGTTTTGGCTAACGAACTTCCTACGTTTTCGAATTGTGAGCCTAATGTTCCCGCCACTATTAGCAACAACAACAACAAGGACACGAAATGATACCACCAAACCCATGATGCAAGAAGAAAACAAGACAGAATGTTGACTCAAAGAGCTTTAACTGCCTCGAACCAACAGCGAAAAGAGTTGACAGTAATTGCGTATATATATATATATATATATATACGCTTTGAATGGCCTTGAGTGACGCTAATTACACTAATGGGTTAAAACAGTCAACAACCAACAGGTTTGCAAGGTCATGAGTGGGGAGTAGGAAATACAAACAGTTTGGTACTATAAAGATAAATATTTGGCATTTTGATAAACATTACAGCTTCTACATCTTCGTAATATCATCTATCACATATCACAAATGCATACATGTGATGCTATCGGTTCATTATGCCATTAAGAGTACACATCCTCGAATAGACGCTGATTGGCTATATTCTATAACAAAATGACAAAATAACTTAATACTTGAATTCCCCCTGATGAATTCGATGAAGAAAAAAACAATAACAGCCTATGGTGCTCGATAAAACTAATCCAACTCTTATAAAATAATTACAATGGTAATGTTTTGCTTTATTCCTAAACAGTAATTAGAAATACATCATGAAGTTCTCAACATTTGGTACAATATTGTATATAATTTGACTGACAACAAAATATGGCATTACATTGTATAAGTAACCAAAATTGATAATAAAATCAAAAATTTACAAAGAGTACACTTTCGATTGGACACTAACTGGTGGCAGAGTGGTTAGGATGCTCGCCAACGCACATCTGATATCAATGGTCAGCCTGTTAAATTTGGGCTACCGATATCACATGCTGAAAATTCCATAGTTGTACCAAAATACCGTGTGGAATCAAGCTATAATAAAAACTGTTTAAAGATAATGGTGCCAGGTGTTTAGTCCTTTCTTCGGTGCAGACTGAATTCTATCAGTCAAGTTTTCAATGTGGCCACCATGCCACTAGGTGGCTCGCCATCATGGTACACTGTGAATTTTTGGTACCCGATGGTTGGAGGCAATCACCAGAAAGACTTGAACCTAGGTTTCGTCCTAGTTGGTGCTCACCAGTAAGCAAAGCGTATCCGCAGTCTAGAAGCCACTCATGTCCCTTCTGAGGTTCCAAACCTTGATACATAGTGAGTCCTGCAGCCAGAGATGTTACTACTGAGCTACTTAGGCTCGCGACTGATCTCTTGTATGACTTTATTGGATATTTTTGGTTGGACACTACTATTCAAGTACCATGGCGTACCCCAAATATTCATCAACCTTATTCAACAGCCGTACGACAACGGCACATGTCAAGGGATCCACAAAGGAAAACTCAGCGAGGCTTTTGGAGTAAACACAGGAGTCAGACAAGGCTGCTAGTCTACAATCACCAGTGATATTCCTAATTGTGGTGGACTGGATTATGCGTCAGACAGTGGGAAACGAGAAGACAGGGATATCCTGGACCGAAATGAAGAACCTAGAAGACCTGGATTTCGCGCGTGGATGATTTATGTTTGATGTCACACAAAATCGAAGACTTACAAGCGAAAACCGACAAACTGGTCGACGAAGCAGCCAGAGAAGACAGGACTCCCAGCGAACATAGAAAACACAGAGGTAATGAAAATAACCAACCAACAACAACAACAGAAGCAGCAACATACAGCGCCAATCACCATCAACGGGAGGGACTTGAAAGAGGTTACTTCATTCACTTATCTAGGGAGCATTGTCTCAACTACAGGAGGAACGGACGAGGATGTCAAATCGAGGATCGGGAAGGCGAGAAACACATTCATCAACCTGAAACCAATCTGCAAATCTTCATCACTCAGCATCAACAACAAAATTCGGATTTTCAATACAAACGTCAAGTCAGTTCTTCTATACAGATCAGAAACTTGGCGGGTCACAAAGAATATTTCCAACAGGTTGCAGACCTTTATCAACAGCTGTCTTCGTTCTATGCTGAAGATCAGATGGCCGGAAAGAATCACCAACAAGAAACTATGGAAACAAACAAAACAGGAACCAATCGGCTAACAAATATGCAGGAGAAAGTGGAGATCGATTGGACACTCGCTGAGGAGGCTGCTGGTTGACATCACGCGTCAAGCTCTCGACTGGAACCCGAAAGGGAAGCGGCGAGTAGGACGTCCAAGGGTGACATGGAGGAGATCGTGTGAAGAAGAGATGAAACAGTATGGAGTAACATGGATGCAGGTGAAAAGTACAGCAGAAGACAGAAACAAGTGGAGGCGTGCAGTTGAAGCCCTATGTTCCACTAGGAACCCAAGGGAACAATAATAATAAATAACTAGTCAGTAACTAGTGTAGTGTGTCTAGTCCTTTTTTGACTGTAGAGTGAATTCTATCAGTCAAGTTTGCAATGCATAAAATGATAATAATTACATTATTAAGTAAAATTATAGGATAAGTGATGTAGTGTCCCCAGGAAAAGATCAAATAGTCATTTATTTATTTAATCGCACAGTAATTTGTAAGTTTTACGCTTAACACCTTCTCGTTCACATAGAACTCTGGCCAAATATATTATCGTTGAGTTTTTTACTTAGTTGTACGAGCACATTTTTTGTATTCCTTTGCGTTCCACGTGGAACATTGGGCTTCAAGCTAGAGGCTTGAAGTTTCGATAGCAGTGGTATTTTTTACGGGATGGGGTTGCTAGCCTCATGCCCAACCATTCTTTTTGACCAGTCTTATTACTGGCTCAGCGAGGTAAAGAAGAAGTGCGTCTGCTGGGGATCGAACCCTGGACCACATACGTGGTTGGCGAGAGTCTTACCGCTTAGCCACCGACGCACTGTGCGGGTATATAATTTATTATAATGACTTCTAGTCCTCTACCTGATGAGATGAAAGGTGGAGGGAGTTCAGAATAGAGACGGCGTTGAGAGTCAGACTATATGGATTCCGACCAGTTCTCATATGAGTTCAGGCGTCTATCAACTACTGTAGTAACAAGCTGACTAAGCGGTGCCCTAAGTGAACTAACAAGATCGTGCACACCACGTTTATGCTTGAAGGTGCTGTGAACTGTCTGATATTTAGAGGGATTCAACGTAAGACTACTAAACTTAGACCACCGGCTTATATCCAACAGAAGCAATTCAGCTTGGAACGGTCAGATCGAGACGTAACAGACAACGAAACAGTCAGATCATCAGCATATTTAACCAGGTTGGTTCCATTCGACAGAGGCAAGTCATGAAAGAAGAAGGAAAAAAAGAAGAAGAGACATCAGCACCTTCGTTTTTACCCTCTCAACTGTAAACAAAGATCCTTCAGTTCATTGGAGAAATGAAATGCCAAAGAATAATGAAGAATTATCATCGTAAATACATGAACCGTAAAGTTTAGTTAGTAAAGTATAAAATACTTCTGTACTTATAAGCGCAGTGTGATCGAAGTTTATGGAATAAAATAAAAATTAGGGAGCAAGGTTAGCAATTAACAAGATATTGAAGTACACAAGTCATAAAACTACGTATTAGAGGACTATGAAAAAATGTATATATTATGAGTTCAGTTCATTTATTTAGAAATCAGATACGTGGAGAGTGATGCTTTATACGTGATGATGTAACTAAGAGTGACAACTAATCAACATTTAAATTTGATAGAAGATGACATAATTCAACCTACGTTCAAAAGACAAGTTACCAATGTTGAGAAAGACTTACAAGTCCTTCTTTTTGAATGCATACGTCCGGTTATAATCATTGGATAGCGATGTCCTCTAGGAATTTCAGAAAGCTTGAACATAGTCATTTATTTATTATTCTGGAAGAATTCAAGGTGTAACAAAACGAATGCCCGCTAGTTCAGTCGAAAGTCGACAGATACCCTTACTTCTTTAGCTCCAAGTGTCTGGCTGCCTAGGTAGGCAGACTGGAAGAACAGAAAGAAAGACCTATCTTAGATACTCAGAACACGTACCGGAATATTTGTGATTAAGAGGAAGTAAATATTTGAATAGTGCAGTCGTGAGTCACCTGACTGACATGAAACATCAAGCACAAACCCCGCGTTATGTCAAAGTAACAAACAAATAATCAACGTGGATCCCCTTCATAATCATGGCTACTAAACAGTTAAAACTTGACTTATTTATTCAAAAAGAAGGTTGAGTAAATCTTTCTCAACATTAGTAACTCGTCTTTTGAACGTCAGTTGATTTTGTCATATTTATCAAATGTAACTGACTGACAGACTGTTTTCAACATAGAACTTTGCACAGAAGCGCCGTAATTCGAGTCGCCACACTCCATGTAGCACACAAAGCAAGAGAAGAAAGTTAAAAGAAATGCAAAACAGAGAGAGTGAACAGAGACATAAGACAAAAAGAATAGTAATAATGAAGAAAAATATAGCTTTATTGGGTAATATAAGTCACAAGGAGTGGATACATCTGCTTTATCCACTGAGAACGACTTCGAGCCATATCACCGATTGTCTCCAGTCATTGGTGTTTACCGTCCCGAGGACCCCAACCAGGAAGCCAGTCTACACCTTCCTACGTGGCTGGCTGGCTTAAACGAACTGTTGTGGATTTCATTGACTGGCACCATTGTAGTGAGTGCTACTTATAATCTGATATAAGCAGTATATCAGAAACGAATTCAGAAAAGTAACAATATGTTTTGCACACTGGAAAGTGCATTCAAAGAAGAGAACCGTGAGAAGAATGTTGCCATATGATGCAGAATCCAAGAAGCTATCGAATGTGACGATGTTCTACCAATTTGTCAAGGATGTGGTAAATGATGTGCAAATGGCAGTTTGAAAATATGGTATACCAAATTTACCTATGCACAATACGTTTCATCTTACGTGGTCTCTCCTTCTTTACACCATGTTTTGGGAGGACCACCATTTGCTGTTTTCCAACCTGATCCATTCTATGTCAGCTAACATTGCCTGTTGAGGGAGGCGATGGCTAGGCATGCACAACACATGTCCTAACCACCTCAGTCGGTGTAACTTCACAGCCTCGTCTATTGATTCCTCCTCTTTACCTAGCACTCGACCGATGCCTAACCTCAATATTGCTCACCCTATTATACCGCTTTACACGGGAGACAGGAGACAGGCACCTATGATCAAAGACAGTTAGCTAGCCAGGCTTTTCATGTCTCCCAGTTTCAGTGGCCAGGTCTCATAACCATAAAGGAGGACGGAGAGAACTGCTGTTGTGCACTACACACGTCCTTTGGTCGATAGCCAACCGCAAATCACGTCTACACCAGAAACGGCGTAAGCTGACATATGTCAAACGAGCCTTTTGTATCCGTGCGGAGATTTCGTCACCAATCAGTCTGTAGGGACTGATTCAACTTTCCAGATAACTGAAGTGGTCAACACGCTCTACCACTTCACCTCCTCTCTGTAAGCTAGGAATGAGTAGATATAGCCCAGTTCTATAGCACCATTTTACACCTGACACGAGCGAATCGCATACCAAACATTCGCAGATTCCCACTCCTCAGGATGTTCAGACGACTCTACATTTTCTCCTAGAAGGAGGACTATGTCATCTGCATATTTTAAGTTAACAAGATTATACCCCGATAACAATCCGGTCTCTAAGTCTCTGAAGTCAGTCAACGTTAAGTCCCTTATTGTATCTATGATTGAATTAAACGAAAAAGGAGACAGTGAGTATCCCTGACGTACATCACTGGTCATCATCTCTTTAGATGACAACTCTCTGTAAGCACATATCTTGCAGCATGAGTTCGAGTAAAGTGCCTTGATTAGTGCAGTGTATTTTCTAGGCATTCCCTCCACAATCAGATATTACCATAGTATCTCTTGGTCGATGGAGTCGATTTCCGACTTCAGGTCGAGAAATATGATGATTGTTGAACACTAGTAAATACGACTATGTTACAGAATCTGTCGAAGGGTGAAGATGTAAGTACTAAAGTTGATTTTTTCACTCCTACTTAGTTACGTCATCATCTATTGACGTCATGTTTCATTAGTCCAATATCTAACCAAATGAACTTAACTCAAAGTATTTTTTCATATCCCACTTGTGCACTAAACATTTTCTAATGACTTACATGGTCTAAAAATTTATATACTTCAATACATTGTTCCTACCCTTACTCCTTACATACTTTGTTTTATTCGAGAAACCTAGATCACAAATATGAAGTGAGTTAATGCCTCTATACGGGTCAGAAACTTGCCCTGCGTGCTACGAAAAGTATTTCTAACAAGTTAAAGAACTTTATCAACAGCTGCCCCGTTCGCTAGCTCCATACTGAAGATCAAATGGTCAGCCGGCCGGCCAGAAAGAATTAGTAACAAGGAACTCTGGCTGACTGGGAACAAACTAACCAACAGCCAACTGCTCAACAGATATGTAGGAGAAAATGGAGATGGATCGGGCACACGTTCAGGAGACCGTTGTGTAAGATGCAGGCCATCACTCGAATGGAATCCATATGAGAAACAACTCGTGGATCGCCGGTGCGAGGGTGACATGCAGGAGATAGTATGTTGGGGAGAAGGAGATGAGTGATAATGGGCAATCGTGGACCTAACTGAAGAGGACAGCAAAATGTAGAACGTACGTTCCACTTGGAACCCAAGCGAATAATGTCATATATAGACAGAGAGAGATCACACTGCACATATAAGTACAGCAGCTGACGAAATAAACGATAGATCCGTCTTATCGAACACTATATGCTTTAATTGTTTTGTTAAAAGATAAGTTGCCTCACAGTCTAGTTGCGTGGGTGGCATAGCGGTTAGGTCGCTCGCCGACCATGCACATGGGCCGGGGTTCGATCCTCGACTGACGCACTCCTTTACCTCGCTAAGCCAGAAATAATGCTGGTGAAGAGGAAAGATTGGAAATGAGGCTAGCAACCCCATCCTGTAAAATAAACACTGCTACAGAAACTTCAAGCCTCTAGCTTGAAGCCCTATGTTCCACTGGGGAACGTGAAGGAATAAAAAACAGTCTAGTTATTGTTGTTTTCAATGTTGTTTCTATAACATTAGCTCTAGTAATATAGAAATGTATATTAGTCAATATCTACAAAATATAATTTGATTATACATCTAGATTCATTGCAATAGATTTTAATTAAATTTTAGATAATATTTCTTACAACCTACGCAGGAAAAATGCGTCTACATACACAATATCCTCGACTGCTGTTTTGGACAGCTTTAATTGCTGCTGAAATTGCATCTCTCTTTGGTTTTATTGCTTTCAACTGAAATGAATTGGAAAAACTGGCCAAGCAACTATTACTGATAATGGTAATCCTGTAACTGATCTGGAACAATTATTCGTTTAGTATACTTTACTCACTTTGTATGACCTTATTGTAGCAACTATAGTTCATCTTAAATTTTAATTTTTCTATTATTTTTTTTCAATGAATTTAAGCTGTCATGATTTTTGAGCTTTTGGTGATTCTTAAAACTTACAAGTAGAAGTAAGACATTAAGTAAGGGGACTGCCGGTATTAAGAATTCCTATGGGAACAGGTTCATTCCTTAAATCATATTAATATTGACATCATTCCCTTAGGTTCTGAGTGGAACTTAAGGGCCTCAACAGCGCACCGTCATTCTAGTCTGTTCTATTCTGTGCAGTCCCCTTTGGCCGGCTTTACAATTTTCCATAAGCTTTCATCTATTCCTCAAGCGATCTCCTCTACATCAAATCCAACTCACCGCTTTCCACAACACCTCCAGTAGGAACTCTGTCACTCACTCATTGATCTCCTCAGCATGTTTTCGATTTATTCGCGTTTACTTCGGAATAACTGCTGAGCAATAGGTTCTTGGTTCGCTCGTGCTAAGAGTTTGTCGTTACTAATCCTTTCTGGACGACTATCCATCTGATCTTTAGTATGCAGTAAAGACAGCTGTTGATGAAAGTCTGTAGCAGGCTGTTGGAAATGCTTTTCGCAACACGAAGAGTCCCTGACCCAATCCGAATCTTATTTATTATATGCTGAGTGCAGAATACTCCCAAAATGATTTCAGAGTGATCAAGGTCTGTCTTGTCCTTACGATTCTGGTTTCGCTTGTAATTGAAACGACGCTGCCTAGAATAACCTATTTCAAATTTCTCCCATAGGTAGAGATTGATGTTTGCTATTGTTTATCAATAGGCGTTTTCCTCATCTCCATCTTCTCTATGCTCACTTGAAGTCTTTGCCGCTTCTCCTGCCAGCGTTTGGGTCTTCGCCAGTAAATCTCCAAGTTTACTTGGCGTTAGAAGTGTAAGTCATCCGCGAAGTCCAGATCATCATCATCATTCCAAAGTATTCTTGTCTTCTCCCTCCCACAGTTTTCAGACCAATGCAGTCTACCACAATCAGGAATACCAACGTGAGTGTTAGCAAGCAGCCTTGCCTTACGCCTGTCTTCTCTTCAAAGGCTTCTTCGAATTCCCTGTTATAGATTAGTTGACATGTGACATTATCGTATAGCTGTTGAATAAAGTTTATAAAAATTTGCGTCACTGCACTCCATAGTGCTAAAAACGTTTCTAAATCATTTCGCGGTCAGCGCTGGATGACATTGTAGACGGTTTTATGTATTTTCATCCGTTCAAATGTTAATTCTGCTTTATTATAACATGCTAATTTATGGTGTTAGGCTTGTTTTCAACTAAACAGATATATCCACAAATAGTTCTTTAATATGGTCACTCTCCTTGAGCTGCATGGTGATTCTTTTGCGAAGCCGCTTTCATTGTCCTTCGAGACCGCATCTTCGGTGTAAAATACAATGTGGAATAAGCATATTTGTGTTCTCCATCAGTGATATAATTGTAACTCATGATAACGTTTACCATTACTGGTTATTAATTTAAATCAATATTGACTTGTGAACTTGGAGAGAACTGTACTACTTTGTCCACTGGCAGTTTTAAAGGATTTAACGATGCCCGTATTGAAGAGGTGTCTAGCAGTGATGGCAGTGAAACTGTTTACTCCTTCAACACCTAGGATTTTCGGTATATGTTTAGAAAATCGAAGGTGTGAAGTACGTTCTATTCCCTTATTGTAACTTCTACTTTAGATACATGTAAATTTATATACACGGTCAGAGTTAACATTGCAAAGGAGTTTGTTAACGTTTGCACAAAAGGAAATGTTGCTCGATAAATGGGAACGATAGGTCCTAGCTAATGAGGTAGGTATTCAGTCTTCTGTTGACTATTCTTGCAATATTATCACCGTCAAAATCCAGTTGAATGAAAATAAGCTTCTTTCCCATTGTGATTTATTTGGCATTTGAACCGTCACATCTTCTATACTTCTTAATGAATTTCTGTGAGTTATCGTTGTCTGGTGCGTCTGTGGCACAGTGGTTAGGACTCTTGCTGACCATGCACGTGGCCAGGGGTTCGACTCTCTGCCGACGCACACCTGATATCCATGGTCGGCCTGCAAAATTTAGCCTACCGATATCACATGCTGAAAATTCCATACCTGTACCTAAAAATAAAGCTGTCATCAGAAAATCAAAAAAAATGCGACTCTGAATTTTGTACCACCAGTACTGTTTCTGGAATAAAGCAAATTATTATTATTATCTTTCAAGATCTTTTCGAGAACCAGAAATTCTTCTTCTAGATTCTTTGTAGGGTATATTCTCCTGACTCTGTAAAACAGAATTTCGGCTAGTGGTCATTCATAGCTATTTAGACAAATACTATTGTAATGCAAGTGTTCGCCATTTCATCTAGGCTATTTGTCAACTGACCTCTAGAGACTTCCAAACACTTTCGTCAATGCACCACACACCTCAGAAAAATTTCAAAACAGATCCGATTTATAAGAAAAAGACGCAAACGGCAGAGAAAGTTTTCTTTTCGACGATTCATTTCCATCAACTGCTGAACAGTCGCAATTATATTTAACGAAGAAGTCTTTAAATCAATCAGACGCTGGTAAAATTTGTCTTCGAAAAATGTATTACGTGATGTAAGGTGTAACCTAGAAGGGGTGACTAACTGGGATTTAGAAAAGGTGGTAGAAGTTGGCATGACGTAATAGACGTGAGGAAATGACTAATCAATAAGACTGTGTAGAATGAACAGGAACTAGTGGAAAGACGACAAAGAGTTTTTATATAAAATCTGTATGAAAACGCAATGTTACTAATAAACAGTAACAGAGTGGAATTTAATTTATGGATGGTGACTAGCAGTGGAATCCAGGATGCGCATTGCGTCCTATTTGGGACTCGTCATCTGGATATACCTGCGTTACCCAGTGAGTGATGATTTTCCCACCGAAATTCGAACCCAGTGAACATAGTTTCAAACGCCAAAGTGTTATCATAGTCGAAGCATCTGAACAAGAAGCCGACATGTCAACCTGAGACCAAGCACTTCGGTGCAATCAATCGACGGGAATATCTAAAAAATTCAATTAAAGTAATAGAGTAGTAATAAAATAAGGATGACGGGAATAATAATGATAATAAAATAATAGTAATAATAATAATAGTAAACTTAAATAATAAAAAAGAGAAGAAGCAAGATTATAGTAAGAGCTCTACTCCGGCCACGGTAGAGTGAGTGAATGTATCTAGCGCTTTGAACGCAGATGTCCGGTTTCAAATCCCGAATAGCTAATGCTTCAGCTATGTACAGATGGAGTATGTAAAGTCCTATTTGTAAGATATTGATCCGATTTACACGACACAGAGAACTTGGAATGAAAGCGAAGCGCTAAGCGATGACGTCTTTCAGATGTTGTTTGAATATTCCCTTGAGTGGCAAACATCTATCGGACATAACGAAAGCATCACCAGAGACTACTGTATAACTCAACTTCTACGCTTGAAATTTATTGATTCTTGCATTTTTCTAGTCTCTTTATAAATCTTACTTCGTTTATTCTGGACTGCTGAAAAGTTATTTGACACAGATTAGGACTTGTTAGGCGATAATTAGTATTTGTAGACTGCCTCTGACCTAACTGACTAACTGTGTAAGTGCATATCTGGACATCTACAATCACTGAAAGAAGGAAACTTTACACCTATCTGAGCCTTATTCCTATTCACAACCTCCTCTTTGTTTGTGTGTTAAAATCAGGAACTAAAAGCAGCTGCTCGACTCCTGGAACAATTCATGTATTACATGAGTAATGTGATTATCTGATTTGAACTTGTTTGTACAAGGTGTAACCCTCAAATAGCTGAGGGTTACATATTCAGGTTTAAAATACTATTACTTTTAACCATAACATTTTCACTCATATTTACATTTACTTAGTGAGTTCCTCAGTCATTGCTATGCATATATGAATGCTGAAGGGTCAAAACAGGTTCAATTCTCAATGTTTCACACTGTCTTGTAGGAATGGGAGAATGCAAAATACTCTACCCGTTCGTTGTAACATCAGACAGACGGTGAACAATACTGGGATCGGAATTCTCGACAGAAATGTGCGTAGTGGTTGATATGAAGGGCTAAAAGGGGGAAATGAAATATGAACAGTTTTAGACTGATTAGATCAGTAAAGTCGCCAAAGCAAACGTCCAGAAAGAAATTGATGGTTAAAGGCATCAGAGTATTCACAGCAGACAGAGAACCAAACGGTTACTGTGATTAGATAAAACATGGGAATTCACTAGAGAATAGGGAAAGGGAACATTTACAACACGACAAGCGTCAGTGCAATTAGAGGATGAAGTAAACAAACAATTCCACAAAATGCTTATTGAGAAGATAATCCACTGTCTATACTGCTCTTTAGTCTCTTTCGTAAGGAAATCCCAGGCGGAATTACAGGTTTAGTGGTGATTTTCAAGAGCTCAACAACGTAACACAATTCAGACCGTGTACCATGCCAACTTTTGCAGAAACTAGAGGGGTAGAAGCAAAATTAGTGTAAGCGAATGCTATGCAGAAGCTGTTGAACACACATGTAGAAAAATTACTGAACTATCGAGAAAGAATGTCTATCATTAGTGTGGACAGTAGATAAATGATGCCCTTATCTACTGGCTCACCGATTCCAAGTCGTCCTTCCTTAAATTTGCGTTGTTTGTAGATGAGTACCACTAGGTAATTGTAAATTTCCATCCTTTTGAGTTGAATTTTGTTATCATGATCCTGGAGGACATTGGTTCTCACTGCACAAGAACCTCAGATGGTATTATTGACATCATGACAGCCACTCCCTTAGTATGCTTGTCGTTGTCATCTAGGTAACTATAGTAGATTGTTGACTGCTTCCATGCGTACTCAGTATATCCTACTCCTTATATGCTATATCTTATCATAGCTTTTGGGATCGTAGCAGCCTTTCCTGGTAGCTTCAAGCATTACGATAACATTCCGTGTCACTGTGTTTACTTTCTCTTTCACCGACAGAAAACATACCGGCCTAGTGGCTACACAAATGTTGTCTA